AAATACTTTGAATCTTCAACCAGTTTTGAAAAATTTACGATTTTGACGATAATAAAATTACAATAAATACAAAATTCGTTCAACACACGTGTCAAAAACTAGTTTCAACAAAAAACACAATTATAATCTATGAATAATTAAACCAAAAAAACATAACACCATTCATGTTCTTCTCCACTAGCCCATCACGGTCTACCCACACCAAAATCAAAACCCACAAAAATCGGTGGCACCCACCAAGCATCACCGCCACCAAAATTGCCCACTATTCCGAGCTCCTCGAAAACCACCAAAATCAACAACATATCTGAAAATAAATTTAAGATAAGAGGAAGTAGAAGATTTGCACCATCATCACCATTATCCAACCACCATCATCGCACTAACCAAGAAATCACCTCTTGGGGCAACCAACCAACCCCATTCCCTCATGATTGCTTCAACGCAAATAGCCATGATTTCAAGATCCATGGGTGCGATGGCGTCAATCATGGTTCAAGATCCATGAGCCAGGGTTTCAACATCACTGCTTCTTGTTGGAGGTTGACCTTTATTTTGCGGTGACGTTGGGTGGGTGCTATGGCGTCGGCCGCCAGTAGTGGTGGTGGTTTTAGGATAAAGGAGTTCTGGAAGAAGATGGGGGTGGGAGGGTTTGTTTTGATTTTTTGTTTTTTATTTAATTATTCATAGATCATAATTGTGTTTTTTGTTGAAAATGTGAAAGTTACCATTTTATCCATTTAGAATTAATCAAAATTATGATCAATATTAATTCTTTGGTCAACTAACAGTTAAATTAATGATTTTCATCCATTTGAACTTCAACTATGATATTTTGAAAGGTTTGTTACCGTGAGTGATTCAAATGAAAAGTTTGGTACCTTAAAATTTTCAGAGGCTTTCTAGTCCAACAGATAAGACAAAGTAGAGGGGCACAATTTCCATGAACATATAGGATAAAAATTTAGTACGAGTGTGACACAAGTCAATTGAGATATGCATTGAATTCAACACACAGAGGCATGTTTGACACCTGGTTCATTATAATAGGTCAAATTGTTTCGGTATTATTTATTAAGTGTCAAATTCATGTTACGCGTTAAATATAAAATGTGCGTCCAACTCGGTTAAATAATTTTTAAGCTATTCTCATTGGGACACAAAGGAATTGATTATTGAAGTTTATTTTTACAAAACTCAAATAACTTACATTGATGGTTCAATAAGACATTTGTTAACACTTGTAGCTTAAATTGACGACAACGTCAGCCTAAGATTAGCCTAAATGATCGAATCTACATTATGCCCCCGTTTGGCCCTTCATTAAATTAAATTTTATTTTTCTGTCTCTTATTTTCAATCACACGACCTTTCATAAAATAATATTATACATAAATCGAAAATTTTTCCTTATTTCTCAATCATTTAGAGCGCGTTTGGTTTGCCGTTTTTCAACCGTTTTCTGCTTTTAGTTTTCGAAAATACCCAAAACGTGTTTGGTCTGTCGTTTCCGAAAACAGGGAAAAGTTTATAATTAAAACTCAAAAATATATATATATATATATATATATATATATTGATAATTTTATAGAAGAATATGAAGAATTTTATGAAAACTTTAAAGAAGATGAAGAATCATGCTTAGAATTTGTAGAAATGGAAAAAATTTATAATCTTTTAGTAACAGAACAAGATATAGAAAATATGATAAGTAAATTAGAAAAATTAGAAATTTTAGGAGAAAATATATTAAAATATTGGGAAAAAGATAAAATTTTATGTGAATTAAAAATAAAAAATCCAGAATATATAATAAAAACAAAAAATATTGAAGCAACAAATCAAGATCAGGAAGATTTTAGGATGCATATAAAAGATTTATTAAAATTAAGAGTAATTAGAAAATCAGAAAGTCCACATAGATCAGCAGCTTTTATAGTTAGAAAACACTCAGAAATTATTAGAGGAAAAAGTAGAATGGTAATTAATTATAAAAGATTAAATGATAATACAATAGATGATGCTTATAATATCCCAGATAAAACAGTTCTAATAAATAAGATTCAAGATTGTAATATTTTTAGTAAGTTTGATTTAAAATCTGGTTTTTGGCAAGTAAAAATGCACCCAGATTCAATAGAATGGACAGCCTTTACTAGTCCAGAAGGACATTTTGAATGGTTAGTTATGCCATTTGGATTAAAAAATGCCCCTAGTATTTTCCAAAAAAAAAATGGATAGTATTTTTAGTAAACATAATAAATTCATTATAGTTTATATAGATGATATTTTAGTATTTAGTAAAAATAGGCGAGAACATAGAGGTCATTTACAAATTCTTTTTTCAGAATTTATTAGACATGGCTTAATTATAAATAAAAAGAAAA